AACCAATTATTCGTCACTCTATTGCAGATTTGATCATTGTCATCCCCCTACTCGCAAATCACACCGAATGTCGTCCCTCTACTCCCTTTATTTTATTCATTGTTGTCCTTTTCTTGACCCGTTTCTTCATCTGTTAATTTGAACGGTTAATAGCATCATGGTCAACAATTAAAACTATCTTTCATTAAATTTTTGCAACATGTGCAGTAAACTTGGGGTTTAATTAGGGGATGGTTTATGTTTTGGTTTTAAATTAGATCTCTTTCTTTAATTGTTTCTATTATTTTAACCTTTGTTTTTTTTATTAAACCGTCCACCACCTTTGACGTCAATTTGCAGCCATCAAAAAAATTCATAAGATAATTTTTTTTTTCTCTTTATATATTAATTAAAATGAAACATATAGGGACTAATAGATTTATCAAAGTGAATTTTGCTCATATTGTTTAATCATTTTTCTATAAAAAAAACAAGAATATTGAAATGTTTTTATAAGAGAAGCTTAGATTCTAACAAAATTTAAAATTAACGATCATATTAATTCATGGCATTGATAATCCCTCATCACTTCAGATAATTATACGGAATTAGCTTGGTCCAGTGTTATTTTTTTAGCCATGTATATATATATATATATTATTGAAAATTGTGCATGTGAGCTCAATGCAAGACTTACATCCAACATAAAACCAATTGATAATAGGTGGAGTGACTTTCTTTGTATTTAACCCACCAACTTCTTACTTTAATACTTCATGTGGGATTTTCCAACTTCAACACGCCTCCTCACGTGCAAACCCGCTATGAATGTTGGGTCATGTCACGTGGATTAACACGCTCCCTTAAATGCAAGCTTGGTACTCGTTGAGCCTTAAATTCAGGCCCGGTACTCTTTGAGCCTTAAATGTAGGCCCAATACTCTTTGGGTCCTTAAATGCAGGCCCGGTACTTTTCGGGTCTTATTAGGTGGGCTAACAACGGACTTCTCAAGACAGAACCTGAGTCTAATACCATGTTGAAAACTGTGCATGTGGGCTCAACGCAAGATTTGCATCAAATCTAAAACCAATTGGCAATAGATGGAGTGGTCTTCCTTGTATTTAACACATAAGCTTCTTACTTTAATACTCGATGTGAGATTTTTTCACTTCAACATATATATATACACACATATACATATAAATATGTATATACATGTTCTAATGTAGAAAATGCAGTATTAATGAAGTACGTTCCTTGTTTATAGATATTAACCTTTGCAGGTGTAGGTATATTGCTGCTGAGGCCGCGGCTTGGTTGCTTCCGGATGGTGATCTGTCGAAACTGGTAGGATTCTGGCATCAGCCAAAAAAAAAGTTAAAATAACAATTCTTAGAAAAAGTTAAACAATTTGTTTTAGGTACATTAAAAAAAAGTTAAAGAATTATTTTTTGCATCCATTAAAAAAAGTTAATTTCTTAACTAAGTATTTGAATTTTTTATATTGATTTTAATTAAATTTTTTAAGTTAATAAGCAATAATTTACCCAAATGCTTGTTCTTATGGTTAAATAGCAATTCCTAGAGAATCTGAATGGGTATTGTATTTAAAATCACGTATTAATAACATTAAAAAATTATCAATTTTTATAATATTTTATGTAAATTAATTACAAAAAAATTATGTTTATTGCACTTTAAATAAACTCAATTTTTAAAGAAGATTATGAAATTTCGGTTTCAGGGGAATTCCATCCCATGTGTTGGTCAGCATAGAAAGATTGTGGTTGACTATTGCCCATATAGATAACATAATTTGATATTAAGAGAAGATTTTATATAATAATTTTTAATAATATATATCTAAATTGAACAAAAATCAAAATTGAATTAACATGACATTGATATTTTAAATACTATAACTGATTGCTGATAGAAGAAAAAATAAAAAATAAAAAAAGCACTTTTGTGTGGTCCAATAATTTGTTATGCGACCTTAACCACTTCTTGACACGAGAGGGAACGATAAATCTTGGAACCTTCATTATTTGACATCCAGATCTGATGCAGAACTGATGCAGAACAATATTGATGATTCCCTGGCTCGGTTCCTTGTACCGCACACACAACTTCTAAATGGAAAGTGTAATTGCAACCAACCAGTAAATCTCTTTCAATCTAAGTCTTCTCTTTAGATTGACCTACAAAACCCCAATGTGGATTATCGGGGTAGACATTTTGATGTTTAAATCAGCAATAATTTAGTCTACCTTTAAGAATTATGGTAAAAGAAGTTTTAGTCGGTTTTAATTACCTTTTTGAGGTGACCTTTGAGGCATTTATAAGTGTTTACACCTAAAATAAACTAATAGGGTAAAACCACGTGTTAAGGTAAAGCCCAATTATCAAGAAAATCAATAGGCTGGATTTGGGCTGGGTTGGCTTACAATTTAATGGCTTAAACGGATTTTCAAGGAGGTTGGATCTTAGGTGACAGAAGATAAGATTGGATATGATAGTTTGAGTTTGATTTAAAGTGGGAAATTGAGGATTTTTAGGTAGTTATCTTTAAGGTTGTTGGAGATAAGGTTAAATAGAAATTATCGGATAACTGTCAAACAACTGCCAGACATGCAATGCCACTACCAGATCATGGAGGAACAGTACCGAAAATCATGGAAGAAGTTCCCAGCACCGAAGAAAATAAAAACAGAGAGAAGAGAACAGTTCCAGAGGCTGCCCAACACACACACTGCCCAAAGCATGTTTTTCAGCTTTCAGACTACATTTTCCAGATTTAGTTCATAGACTTAGCCTAGGATTGTTCATCTTTGTTCATATTTCCTTCTGCAAATTCCAATTTAGATTAATTTTTAAGCATTTGGAAGTAACTTAGCCTTCAAAACAGGTCTACCCTTTTGATTCGATTAGTTCTTCTTCCTTTTATGGATTTAGTTATGTTATTCGTTCATGTAAATAGGTTGAATGTTTTCTACCTTTGTTCTTTTGTCTCTGCACAATATCCAGACATGCAGTTTATTTAATTTCAATTTCCAGACTTTAATCATTTCATAGTTTCTTCTTCAGTTTTTAGTTATCAAGTAGTTTAGCTATTTTCATTTTAATTCTGCAAGTAATTAGTTTTATCATTATGGGCTGCGTAGTTGAAATCATTATTTGTTATTTTACTTTTTTTGTTGTCTACGAATTTAATCTTCATGGCATGTTATTTTATGTTATTTACTTCATGTTAGTTTAATTGCTTTAGGATATTGCATTTATTTTAGGATTTGTAGCTTTTATTGTACTTGTTTGGTTGTGAAATCCTTGGAGGTTTCCAAGGCAATTAGTAACCCATTTTGCAGAACTTTACCCTCTGTTTTGCAACATCGTCTGGGGCGCAATTCATTTCACAGACGTTCTTTCTAGCCATCCTATTGGAGGTCGACCGTTGGAAAGGAGAAAGGTCGTCTGGAAAATCTAGTTTTCTTGTTTTTAAACAAAGCAAGTGGCATGCCTAATAACCAAACTCACGTGGTAAAGGTCGGCTAAGAATTTTTGGGAAAACAATAAGTCTTAATGAAGTGTCCACGTGGCTTGTTTAATGAGATAATCGAATCTTAACGTATTCGATTAAGCAATGATCTCAGGAATTTGGAGATTGGGTGCAAGCATGCTTATCATAGTTATCATGCAACTGTGTGACCAGGAAGAACTGAACTTACATGGTATTTCAATCATTAGAAAATTGCAGCAGGATGTCTGAGATCATTGATCTCGGACCTATCCTTACACTATTCCTCCCTAAAGTCATTCACTTATGAATGATGTAGTTGAAGGTAGTAAGGATTATGTATAATTATTTGGAAATACATGATGAAATGTGATAAAAAGTCAGAGATTCAATTAAGGAAAAATACATGGTATGAAGCTATTGCCATAACCAAAGTAAAAATCAGTGCAATATACGATTTGGCTATCATTGAAATAGAAATGCATGACACGCTGTCGTGTTATTATGGCTATATCCAAAGCAAAAAAGGATGACTCGTAGTTATTATGGTCGAATCCAAAGTAAAATTGGTGACCCATAGTCATTGTGACTGTAACAGAAGTAAAATTGCTGGCTCGTAGTCATGATGGTCGTAGCCGAAGCAAAAGAGGATGACTCATAGTCATTATAGCCATAACTGAAGTAAAACTGATGACTCGTAGTTACTATGACTATAACCGAAGTAACATTGACTTGTAGTCACTATGACCGTAGCCGAAGTAAAACTAGTGACTCGTAATCACTATGACCGTAGTTGAACTAAAATTGGTGACTCGCAATCATTTAGAGGTGAAATACTTTGTGACTATAAGATACAATTGTGTGAGCAAAAAAGTTAGGGCTGGACTTAGTTGGGCCTATGTAGAAAGTCTGAAGGAGAGTTAGTACATAATACGACAATTGTCTTTAAAAGACGCATATAATCAATATGGACTGTAAAAAAATAACTAATATAGTTTAATGAACGCAATTGAAAACAAACCATCGAATTCAAAAGGGTTTCACTAGGAATTAACTATCAAATTCAAAACGATATAATTGTGACTATCAAATGAGACTAATCACGATCGTTAAAGTAAATACTCATATTGGTATATATAGCCATACTTATGTAAAATTAATAATTAAGGCTTCAATCTTCTTTTTCCACTAGTCAAATTGGTTTGGGCTCTACAGTTTTGTGTATAAAAAGCGGCTTCGGCTGTACAGGGGAAGGGGAAGGGGAAGGGGAAGAAAGTTGACAAAGAGAGCTCCGTGAGAAAAAAATAGAGGCACAGAGAGAGTGAAAGGCAAAAGCTTTGTAATTTGACATTCGGCCGTTTCTAGGTACTCTCTTTGATTTTGATCAATTTATTTTAGCTCG